GTACTTTATGATTCAATAAAAAAATAACAATCAAAAGACTAAAAACTGTGTTTTCTATTTAATTCAAATCTTGCGTTAATTTTGGGACACCCTTTACATTAAAGTTTATTTATCACTAGCCCGTGCCGCTTATCGCGCTATGTGTAAGAAGGGAAAAGAAGCAAGGGGCACGGTTTGCTTCTTTTCTCCTCTATTGTAGCAACAGTAAGGGTATATCCACACAAACTTGCATAGTCACATAAATGTTTGCATAACAAAAATTATTCAATCACATTTTACGTGCGTCTTTATAAGAGAAACGAAATTGAATAATTTTTTTTATGCATACGTTTATGCAGTTATGCAAATTTGTGTAAATATATTCTATATAAGCGGCACGGTTTGCGTAGTTCCTATGGTTTCCTAATTAATTTCTTACCATGTATCGCACTATATCTAATCGCACCCTTATTCTTGAAAAGTATTACATACGAAAAACTAGGGAAGTGCTATAGTATATGTAACGCATACTATAATATTTTCCTAGTTTTAGGGCGTAGAATAGCATTCATGTAACTTTTTTCTTAGAGCGGAAACGTGAAAAGTGAAAATTCTTTGTATATATGTGTGTATATGTATAAATCTTTGACTATATAACTATGGACTGTTAGTTGGCTTTCTCACGCCATATCAACATGAAAAGTGCCCCCGCCAGTGAAATGACAAATTTGGGTACTTAGATGATATATCGTTAATTCACGTACAATACAAATCTAAGTTAATCAGTTCAATGCTTGATATATATTTCAATTTCATAAATCAAAGAAAAGAAGTTACTACCCGAGTTTTCCCGGAATCGTTGTCATTTCGATGGCGAGTGCCATATAAAATTAGAAGAAGAAGATCAAAGAAAAGAAAAAAATTAATAATATTTTATTTTAACCGTCCGGTCAATGACCAAACTTTCACCATTCGTTCAATAACCGGGTACCCGGGTACCCGCCTATAATGTGTCAGGTAGAAAAGTTATTAGTAAGCTAGCTACGTGGCATGTGAAATAACTGCAGTCGAACCAGACACTGAGTCAGACACTGAAATGGATACCCGGGTACCTGGTCATTGACCGGACGGTTAAAATAAAATTATATATTTTATGAAAGGAAATGCATCACAATATTTAAACAAAAATCGTTTGAGACGCACGTTAATGAAAGCTATAATTTTTAGCGGAAAATAATATAACATTTGTATAACTATTGAACATTAGTTATATTTATATAGCTATTGAATAATATATATGTTTATTAACACTTGTTATTTATATTTTATTATTGTGTGTTAAATTTATACATGCATATTTTATTTTGATACTGTACTTTACTAAACCTAATAAAATAATGCAACATATGTCATATTCCATCTCTCTCTTTCTTTTTGTTGTATTGTATCATCGTAACATGATTGTGTCTCGATTTTTTGGCATTTCACTGTCGGGTACACGCGTAGTGTTTACTATGCAAATCTCTTTGTCTATATTACGGAAAAGATAGGAAGAATGAGAGCAATCCATAATTATATAGTCTAGCAATCCATAATTATATAGTCAAAGGTACGAACATACATACATAAAAATTTTCACGTTTCCACTCTAACGTACACATAATAAAAAATAACTTTACTACACTGTCTGGAAAGCTCTTAACATCAGCTATTTGAGTCTACTATGCTCGAATCACATGTACTTTTCGAGTTATAAGGCTAAAAGTTACAGTACCGTCGGCATTAGCATTACGCAAGGTGTCCAACTGACAGAGCTAAAATTTCTTGAAAGTTGTTCGGGATCATGTCCTGGATAACATTTGTCAAGATCAAGGTCATTGGAGATTATTCCTCTTATTTTTATTTTTGCACTAAAAATTAATTTTTACATAAAAATGAAAATAAGAGATATAATCTTCATTGGCTTTGATCTTGATAAATGATATTCAGGACGTTTTAGCCGTCAATCTGACATCTTCAGTAATGCTAATGTCAGGCGGTACTATAATGGCCACTGCACAGTTCCTTGCATAACGTATAATACATAGTGCATAAGGGAATTAACCAATCAAAATTCTTCTTTTCCATGGAATGGGAGAAAAGGAAAGATTCTGATTAGTTGATTTCCTTATGCACTATGCGTTATACGCATATTATGTAAAAGTCTGTGCTGCGGCCTTAACTTTCAAGCACATCATAACTCAAAAAGTACTTAATAAAAAAATATTTTTTTTTGTTTATTGTATTATGCGTTATGCAAGGGCCTGTGCTGTGGCCATTACAGTACCGCCTGGCATTAGCATTACTCAAGGTGTCAGACTGAAAACGTAAAAATGAATTTTTAGTGCAAAAATAAAAATAAGAGGCATAATCTCCAATGACCTTGATCTTGACAAATGTTATCCAGGACATGATCCCGAACAACATTCAAGAGGTTTTAGCTCTATCAGTCGGACACCTTGTGTAATGCTAATGCTGGTATTGTAACTTTCAAGCTTTGTAACCCGAAAAGTACATGTAGTTCGAGTTTAGACTAAACTTTGGAAACGTGTAGAGAATCGATAAACTAAGAAAAAAAGTCCTGTAGAGATATGTTCGTTTTTGCTTCATTTTGGAGAAAATTACAAAAAAATAATACACAGTTGCTTCTCGCACTGCCTCTGAAGTATTATTGTCGTTAAAATCGTGCACGAAAACAATAATAATTCCGTTTTCAGGTGAAAACTTTTTGTTTGTTTACATTTCTCCTATAAATTCATCAGTTACTTGTCAGGAACTATCGAGTGAATTCTGTCACAATATGCTGATATGATGCCAGGTGTACTGAGTTTTTGAAAACTGATTTCTTTGATTATTTAGAAGACATCCACCTGCAGCAACGAATTCAAATGTAATTTCTCGATGTCCAGCTCATTATGGTAAAATTACTTCAGCTTGACTAGACAGACATTATCCATGACAATGGATTGGACGTGAAGGAGTAGTACCTTCTGGCCACTCTGATCACCTGATTTGACACCACTGGATTTCTTGGTGTGGGGGGTCCTGAAGCAAGAAGTTTATTCGTCGTCAGACAACTTAAAAGAACAGTTAAGAAATCGAATCGAGACTGCAGTACATTAAATATCGCCATAGATAAGTGTTTGGTTGCAACACGAGCTGTCCGTATTAGATGCAATGCTTGCATCTGCAAAAGGCTAATATTTCGAACAATATTTACATTAAACAAGTAAATAAATACAACGTGAATTAGTAATGAGGAAACTACGTTGTCTTTTTTGCGATTTTCTCTAAAACGAAAACGAGCATATCTCTACAAAACTTTTTTTCTTAGTTTATCGATTCTATACGCTACCGAAGTTTATTATTTAATTTTGGGATATTTAAATTTGGGGCATATATACATATATACATATATGCATATATACATATATACCTATA